TGGCTTTTCTATGCTTGAAGTCTACAATATAAATAGACAGTGGCGGCTCGTAGCTGAAATCAGTGGGGGTGTTGCTCTACAGGATGTTTAGCCTTTATTTTAAGGTTGTAAGAAAGGAAACAAAAATCAAACCCACGAGGAGTAAAAAGGTATCCGCCCCTGTGTTGTGTGCTCTGTGTTCTCCACAATACTTTTCAACCTTGCCTGCAGCTTCCTATGTGGATATTGACAGAAAATACTTAATTAAGACTTCTGGAAAGTGCTCTCTATGCTTGAAGTCTACAGTAAATTAGACAGTGGCGATTCGTAGCTAAAATCAGTGTAGGTGTTGCTCTAGATGGTGTTTAGCCTTTATTTTAAGGTTGTGAGAAAGGAAACAAACATCAAACCCACGAGGAGTAAAAGAATACCCTCCACCGCACACCAGAGTAGACACTTCAGAAGCAACTGTGTTGTGTGCTCTGTGGTCTCCATAATACCTCTCAACCTTGCCTGCAGCTTCCTATGTGGACATCAGCACAACAGTCAAACATTTCCACACAAAGATTTCTGCATCTTTTTCATAAACTAGAGGGTGACTATTGACATCAGTCATCATCAGCTGGTGGGACACACACTCTACTCTTTTCCATCTTAAACCAATCTTCGCATTTTTCTAACGCTACAACATCCGACGTCCCTATAACCATTTGTGAACAGTAATCTAATTGTAATCTATCTCTGCTATTCTTTACCCCTGCTCCTATTTCCAATATATCTCTCACCACCCCTTCTTGTCTATTATCTTCTCGCTTTTAGTTCTTCTACTCTAATTATAGTACCTCCACGTTCCTAACCTTTTCTATCTATGTTACTGATGATATCATAACGTGACGGTTCACCGTTAAAGTTAAGAATAACGTATTATGCAAATATTAAAAAAATAATCAAAGAAAAAAAGACATATTAAATATATTAAATGTTATTGATGATATCAAATTAAAATATGCAGTTCTACAGTGTCTGTTCGCTGGCCGTTGTTGATGGATCGTCATACTTGTTAGGTTTATTTTACTTACAATGTATTTTATAAAGTTCAAATATTCAGCTGTGCACTTTTTTGTAAAACGTAGTGAATTAATAAAAAAATTTTAGAAAACTCGATTGAGTAAGTTCCACCAATTTATTTTTTAAATACTCGCCAATATTATTATGATCCCATATATTTTATGTTTGTCAAATTTAAACCCAATATTTTCCACCATTTCGATGCTATTCGACTATGATAAACGAATTATTCTCATAGGAATTTTATTTTCTACTGTTGGTGATGTAAGATTTCATAAAAAGCCCTTTTATAATTTAGATACGATAAAGATACTGCATATACGATTGGAGACATCAATAAGCAGTTAAGCGAGTAACCCAAACATCTTGTGCTAAATGAACCGGTTTAAGAGATAAACAAAATAATTAATTTAACTCATTAACTTCTTTATACTATGGTCAAATCAGATGCCACTGAAAATTCCAAAAAAACTTTACCAATTTCGAATAACGGGGGGGTTAACCTCATTGATCGGTACAACTGTCAAATGACAAAATAGAGAATGATATTAACCTGCTTGTATTCTCTTAATCTCTATACCATTGTCTACTATAACACATTCAAGTGCATGTCGTTTCGTTATAGAGAGTTTTTTTGTACAGAATGAGACCAATAGAATTGCTAACACTTGACACTGAAACAAAAGTATGATGATAGATTGAGTCCGAAACGTCACTTTCACTCTTCATTATCGTCCACACACAAAGCTCAAATGTGGCGTATTGTTTTATTACAGAAAGTTAATCGGTATATTAGTTATAAGGTAAACCGTGCAAGCTTAATAAATGTACTACCTACTTATCGACAACATAATATGCGATATAATTGTAAAAAGAGTATTTCATCTATTTTAAAAGGAAAACATAAACATCAAAGTGCTATTGTGCAGACGCAAATTTATTTTTATTAATACATTTAAGGCCATAAGTTAAGACGTTAACGCGGGACTCTAAACATCAGCTTTCATACTAATTACCTACTAAATGAAGTTTAAAGTCACATAAAATTTTTAACATAACTTTTAAACGTATCTAAAGTCATTAATACATGCAATTCTTACTATTTATTAACAACTATTACCAATAACAAATTTAAATAAATTAGTAGTTCCTGTATATTGTTGAAATCATTTCAGGTAGGTAGTTTACCGACTGCAATCGTTCGTATACGGGCACCCTTATAGTCTATGATGTAACATACATTTTTGAATAGTTCTATTCCTTTCATTTTCTGTTTACATTAACTTTTTCCAAACGCTGTTTATAATTAAAACTTAATTTACTTATTTTGAATTTAAGCTTATGAAAATTACAGAAACACAAAATAAATGCTAGCGTACATTTACTGAATATTAAATAAGATTAACTTGTTTATTAACCAACCAAAGAAGGTGAATACATTAAACAAATGTTTACCTCCAATTACTTTCATCAAAAATTTCATTAAATAGTATTTTCATTGTTCAAAAGCCTTTACAACAGAAATTTATTGAGTAGTTTCTTATTTGAGAAAGTGGCTTTCTGAAAAAGACGTATCGTAGTACGGATGATGTTAAAGTTGGAATTTTATTTTGTTGAATTATAAATAGATCTCAAGACTGTTGATGTTTAACCATTAAATAGAGTTTTTATAAAAAGCTGTAAATTCTTACAGACATTAAACAACCGGTACCGTACACTAGTGACCTTTGAAAGGTAATTCTATGGGTATTTATATTTTTAAATATTTCTTATTTAATTGATACTAACACAAACACTATTTTCTAGGCTACAGTGATGTTAACAAAGAAATGCGTTGTTCATTACAACACAACTTCCTAATAGACCACCAATTTATTGTTTAAATACTCGCCAATATTATTATGATCCCATATATTTTATGTTTGTCAAATTTAAACCCAATATTTTCCACCATTTCGATGCTATTCGACTATGATAAACGAATTATTCTCATAGGAATTTTATTTTCTACTGTTGGTGATGTAAGATTTCATAAAAAGCCCTTTTATAATTTAGATACGATAAAGATACTGCAACGACGATTGGAGATATCAATAAGCAGTTAAGCGAGTAACCCAAACATCTTCAGCTAAATGAACCGGTTTAAGAGATAAACAAAATAATTAATTTAACTCATTAACTTCTTTATACTATGGTCAAATCAGATGCCACTGAAAATTCCAAAAAAACTTTACCAGTTTTGGATTTCGGGGGGTTAACCTCATAGACCAGTACGACTGTCGAAATTACAAAATAGAGAATGACATTAACCTGTTTGTATTCTCTTAATCTCAATACCATTGTCACATCCAAATACATAAGTGCATAATAGATGATAATAATAAATAAATATATATANTATATATAGAAATAATAATCCAGCAAAGTTAAAAAAAACAAAGACAAAATTGGCATACCCGACAATGCATCTTTTTGTAAAAATCACTCCTAAAGGAGATATCTCAATTGATTTTACCCTTATTTTATTCCTTTAGCTACATCATACAGGGATGTTCATCTCAACTCAATTTCGATTTTATAGTACAAAAGAATATGAATCTCCTAAAGCGAGTAAACCAAACTACGTGAGTTAAGTGGACTAATTTAGAGGATAAACAAAATCGAAAAAGTAGATCAGATTGTGTGCCATTATAAAGATTATTTTTACCCTACAACCCTTTAAATGATTTATAAAGATAATAATTAATATGAATAGGCAATTGAAATAAGATATTCTAGTCAAACTGTGAAGAAAAACATTTACATGCACCCCATATATTAAGAACAATCAGTGGTCTATCTGTCAAGACTTTTTCTCAGGAACGTGTCAAGGTATCAAGTTGAAATTAGTACTAAATATTCAGGTCTGCAATCTCTTGTAGCTGTGAAAAAATCAAACTTCTAAGTCAACTGCCGCAAGGGAATCAAACCCGATAGGGTACATCACGTTGACTTAGAACTATGAGATTTGGAAGAAGCACAAGTAAAGGGACAAATCCGTAATTTTTTTTTATTGTAATTATACGTTTTGGTGGACTGATTTGGCAGGAGGGAGAGACTTGAGTAAAACATATTCGGAAAAATCGAGGAAAAACTTCGAGACGCGATTCCCGTGACGGACAAACTATTTACATACAAGTTTGTACGAAGCCCTCAGTGCGCGAGTCGTACTCTAATTTGGTCGGTTTTTCTTAAAATGAATCTGTTAAAACTAAATGGGAAGAAATTATAGTTTTATACAGGTATCTACACGGTGAAAACAAAATGTTTAGGACAACGCAAAAATTACAATTTTCGATTGTATATGACTGAATTTACCGTAGAAATACTAAAATTTAATATGTAACTTGTAAAAATCTAAGCTTGGACATGTTTTTTTAAAAATTATTTCAAGTTTCTTAATTTTTACAATTAAATTTGTAATATCAATTAAAATACCTAGTAAATTTATTTCTGCTGGGGTTTTATTTTTACAAATTCGGGTCCAAATTGTAATTTTTATCATCTTCGTTCACGAAGCAACGGGCTAGTAGGATAAACTGTAAATATCGCTTTAATATCTAGGTAAATTTTCCTTTTTCATTTTCTCCATGTATAATACTATGTATGTATATATACATTCTTCGTGATAGTAAATACATTAAAAACGACCTTTCTTGAAATCATAAATCGTGTGATGAATCAAATGATAAAGAGCATTTTGATTTTTCACATTCTCACTATGAGTTGTAGGGATCCTTTATATAGGAACTATTTCTCAATTTTCTTTAATATTTTATTTTTTCGCGTTTTCAATTTTTTCGTGGCTAAACAATTAGGACGTAGGTACTTATACACACACTTAACGAACGCGCACAGTTACCGTAGCATCACTATTCAAAAGAAATCAAACAACGAACTTATTCAAGACTCACCTGTTGCTCTTGACCGGTGTGACGTTAAATGAAGAAACAAACGAAGAGGAACTTTCTGTGTGAACTGACGGACGCACGATGAGCACTTGTTTATAGCCGGCCTACATCCCCACAATTCCATAACCTACATACTCCCCTGTCTCATCGCAGCCGCAGCCGGCACATTCTAAGAGGCCGCGAGTCCCATGATACATACCCATACATACCCATGTCCTCAGTTTAGTCGAAGAACCTCCGCCACAGGCCATCGTTGTTGTTATAATAAATAAAGCTTGTACATGCTATCACTATCACGTGAACTATGTTATGAAAAAATCACGTGCCAGTCACCTTAATTATGTCACCAGATTCTAAGCGAAATGTTGTAAGCACAAACGGTTATATTTGCAGCAAAAAAAAGATAAATGTAGACAGATATCTCGAAAAGTAAAGCAAATTACGAATTGCGAATAACAATCTAATTTAGATTTACCTCTACCCCTCTTAACTCCTGTTTCTGCTTCTACAACTAGCCATTCATGGCCAAGAAAAAGTTCTACCAAATAGTTTCACTTAGTTCTTATTATCTTCCCTTAGTAGCTCTGTGTTATTCTACTGTGATGATTCAGGGAATCTCAATTTATCAAATCCAAAACGAAGCAGCATTTTCCAAATTATTTTCAAAAAGCTGCTCACTTATTCCGACTGTACCTTATGTATGTTTTGGAATATAAAAATGAAAGACAATTATTAATGAAAAGTATGTTTCAAATTAATAGACTCATTTGGCAGACGTTTCATCTTCTCCAACTGCAGAAGACAGTTTCTGTTATTAGTTTGACAATCACTTATTACTTGCATTAAAGTAGATCAAAAGAAGGTGTAGATTGTGTCCCACCCAAATATCGTTTCATTCGAATAAAAAGAACAAAAAGGCTCTTAAATACCCATACGCATGGGTTCACAAGCTTCATTGCTAGGTATGACATGATGTCTAGTATATTTTTTCAAATTTTTGGAATCAAGGATCGCATTGTTATACTTTATTTACTTTCTCTAGCGATGTGCCTCTTCCAATGTCTTGGATGCGCGCTGGCAAAATCGTAGGTAGGGAGAAAACGCTCATTATACTCTCGACTTTTGTTCATTAAACATACTTTTTCATACAGTACCTGCCAATAGTTTTGTTCAATCATGAATAGTAGTGCGAGTCGAAAACAAGCGTTAAACCCTTTAATATATCTTCAAATATAAATAAACATCTCGTTGATATTTTCAGTAGTAATTGGTACCAATAACAGCACATTTGAGAAATGCAATTGCAGTAGATAAAATAGTCAATTTTTCCGTGCAGTACTGTACGAATTATACGCTCCTCACCGGTTAAGAGTTTGACCGAGAGTTGTCTCCTTTCTTTTCTGGCCTAGTGCTGTTCTTTTCTACTTTGCGCCGGTCAAACTGAAGGTCACATCGCTACAGAATGGAAACGAAGTATAGAAACGTATATTAATTATACGATCTGTTTTTATTTTAATTTGGATATTGGACCCCTTCCTTCCCCTTAGTGAAGTTTGGTAATAAGATAAGGAGGGGGGCCCCTTTCCCCCTCGCATGAGATCAACTCAATTGATTGAATAATTTTGTATATAATAATAAATATTTTTTGAATTAAAAAGTAGACATGAGATTTTGAGACATTCCCTTCCTTTAAGTTAGTTTCGGTGAGATTTTGCTGCACACCCTCTCCCGTCTTTTAAATTCACGTAATTCATAAATCCCTCCTAAAGATGTATTATATTTTCAATTTGAACTTCGCCCTTTTAGAGACGACGTTTTCTAAACAAAACTTTTTCGAAAATTGCTAATACTATAAACTGTAATGACATTTTATGATCAACAACAACAGTTTAACAGTATTTTTACTATCACAAACAGCTACGTTCATCGCGTTCACGTACCTACAGAGACATTAATTACACAAAAACCAGGAAATGAGCAGGTACATATAATTATTATGTTGACATCTTCACTTTGAGCAGCGTTTGAAGTTAACAATATAACGTTTCTCGTTCTCTCCCATTTAAATGTTAATGGGAACCTCAGAGAAAGAAACAGAACAAAGCATGTAGAGAGCTTTTCTATCAATAAAAATTACGTAACGATTGTATTTGTTCATCATTGTATTGTACAATGCGCGTTATTTTGTCTAAATTTTTGTCAAATATATACTCACTTACAATAACGTGATAGACGAGCCTTTCTTCCTAAAGACTAGAGTAAAAACTACTAGACAGATTTCAATTAAACTTTGCCATTTTCTACATTAGAGGAGACTTGCTCGTTATATCAAGTTAAAATTGTCGATATATTTCTCACAAAAACTAAAATATTAAATTAATGTACGTATTAAATAAAGATGGGCGAATACGAAACAATAAATCCCAAAATCCTAACGTTGTAGTATTGAGTCTTCATAAGAATCTAATTATCTAGGAAATCAAGCAGGAGACTTGATAGTAAATTAATATTCGATCTCATGTTTAACCTGTAATATCATTTAGAACATAACTTGAAAAATTTAAGAACAGAAATCCTTATTTTTAAGTCTTTTGAGATTTGAAATTTTTGTATAAATTGGTGAATGGTATCACAGATTGTTCAATGCTTTGTAACGAATTATGTTATATTGCGCCAGGGAGAAACATGAGATTTTTTCAAAACGGATGACACTAAAAATAATGTCTTGACTAGAATATGCGCGACTGCTAATGAGATGAATTTAGATTTGAGATTTGTAAATTTACAGGAAGTAGGTAAACTATAGAAACCGACAATTTAATTTTGAAATATGAACAATTGTAAGCTAAATTGTTGATGCGATTCAAATTTAACTGTATAATTATAAGGTGGACGTATTGTCCGTCATGTTTCTAAATAAATAAAAATATATTTTATAAATATTTATTCATGTTATTATAATAATGGTTCACGCAAATAAAGCCATCCAGGTAGTGTAGTATGTATATATCTACATATAATATAGGATACAAATTCATTGCTATTCTGTGTTGAGAATGTAACTGCTAACATGCAAATTCTTCCATTAATTTGTAGCACTTGATGGAAAAGTAGTGGGTCATAACCACTGATGGATTACAGTTCACAAAACTTAAAGCAAATATTAAATCCAGAACACTTCATTTTTAACTAACTTTAAGTATTTCAGACGGCTCATTTTAACCGAGTTAATGTGCTGTGTGGAAATTAGCGAGCTGGAACTTACAAACCTTCTGTTCTTTAATTACATTTCCTAATTTCAATAGATTCTAATTAAACAATTTAATTCTTTTATATACGCCTCTTTTTCTTGTTTTTTCATATATGATTTTAATTATTTTTAGTCCTTTTATTTTATTTTTAATATAATAAAAACGAAATTTTTACTAAATTAATGATATGTACAAAGGATAGCCAATCTACCAATAAATTTTATAAATTCGTTAAAAGACCAGGGATTGGATTATCGTCATCAAAATATATACTAAACAGTGGCGTAACAATAAGGCGGCAGGACGAAGAAAATGCCAAGACCCCCGGCCGGAGAGAGAATAACATACACAAATTAAACAAAAAAAAAACATTAAGATTTGAATGCATTGACCTTTTAGCAAAATTCTTAACTATTTGAGAACAGTAATCTAACCTCTACGCCTCCTATTTCCCGTTTCTACCTCTAATATGTCTCTGACTAGACCTTCACTAGACCATCTCGCCTATTTCTTGTTGACTTCCATAGAGTCCTCTGTTCTCCTATTCTTTCTAATACCTCTTCATTTCTAATCTTCTCTATCCACGGTATCCTCATCATCCGCCTGTAACACCACATTTCAAACGGTTCTAACCTTTTCTTTTCCGCTGCGCCTACTGTCCATGTTTCGCACCCAAACATACACTTTTAACAACCTTTTTCGAATTTCTAAATCAACCGTTCCGAGGACATGTTTATATAAGTATCCTTTTTTTCAAACAGTGGTAATTTTTTTTATATTTAATGTAAAACTATAGTAAACCAAACTGGAAATTACAAATACTAAAAATGTTTTCTTCCAAGAAAAGAATATATTAAAGTTGTTTCAAGTAATTTAACTCATTAGTCCAACAGATGTAATAAGTTGTCCTTTAGCCTTGCGTACTTAGTCTTAGTCTTAGGTCTTAGTCTTGCACATTTGGTCTTGGTTTTAGTCTTGGTCTTGTTCGTTCGGTCTTGGTTTTAATCTTAGTCTTTTTCATTTCGTCTAGATCTTAGTCTTGCTATTACAAAGACAGTCTTGGTATTGGTTTTGGTCTTCCAAAAAAGCAATTTTATCTATCGAGCATTCCATGGTCCGAAATTTTAATATCAGCGGTCATTAATACATTTGCTGAACAGAAAGACCGAAAAAGGAATTTTAGGAATTTTTTACTAAAAAACAAATACAGCGTTGGTTGAACTTTTTAGATTGAAAGAGGCCTTCCCACCCGATTAATTTGCCACTGATCTCAACAGTATAATTACGCCCAAAAAGAGTAGATATATTGGCTACGCCAATGATAACTGCCAATAACAGTACAACAAAAAATGAATGAATTCACAAATAAAGCTTAAAAAAATTTTTAAACAATATAATGACCTTTTGCAAGCCAAAACTGGATACGTCCGTCTAATTTATGACTGTCTCTTTAGACAGTTATCTTTATTAATAATCCGTACGACGATTCAGGCAGACAAAATACAAAATGGGGAATTTTTGAAACATAAATTTCTTAATGACATTTATGGTGATTAGGGGTTAAAAATTCGATTAACAGTTCAATCACTTATTTATCTATATAAGTAGTTTAGGCGGGAATAACAGATTACAACAATTTTTAAAATAAAAAAATAGGAAATGAGAAAATTTACAGTAAATGGCTGAAAGCTTAAGCTTGATTAAATTATTTTACGTATCTTACAAAATATTTAGCATTAATAAAATGGCAATAAAGATAAAGCCAAACAAGCCAACTGAAGAAGAAACATTTAATATTGTAACTACATATAAATCGCGTTTTGCTTTCAAGTCGAATAATATACTATACATTTCACGCTTT